CTCATTATCAATTCTGCATCAAAATCTGGCAACATAATTTTTGGTCATTATTTATGTCAAAATGGTATATAGACATGTAGACAAAATATCCTATATAGACATACGTCAAAACTTACCACACCCATAACTTGGTCAAATCTCATCCGATTTTCAAAAGGTTTGGCTTTTTGTTCATGTTTTTGCCTCATTATCAATTCTGCATCAAAATATGGCAACATAATTTTTTGTCAAAATTCATGTCAAAATTGTATATAGACATATAGACAAAATATCTTTTATAGACGTAGTCAAATCTTCCCACCCCCATAACTCGGTCAAATCTCATCCGATTTTCAAAAGGTTTGGCTTTTTGTTCATGTTTTTGCCTCATTATCAATTCTGCATCAAAATCTGGCAACGTAATTTTTGGTCATAATTCATGTCAAAATGGTATATAGACATGTAGACAAAATTTCCTATATAGACATAGGTCAAAACTTCTCACCCCCATAACTTGGTCAAATCTCATCCGATTTTCAAAAGGCTTGGCTTTTTGTTCATGGTTTGGCCTCATTATCAATTCTGCATCAAAATCTAGCAACATAATTTTTGGTCAAAATTCATGTCAAAATTGTATATAGATATATAGACAAAACATCTTTTATAGACGTAGTCAAATCTTCCCGCACCCATAACTTGGTCAAATCTCATCCGATTTTCAAAAAGTTTGGCTTTTTGTTCATGGTTTGGCCTCATTATCAATTCTGCATCAAAATATGGCAACATAATTTTTTGTCGAAATTCATGTCAAAATTGTATATAGACATATAGACAAAATATCTTTTATAGACGTAGTCAAATCTTCCCACCCCCATAACTCGGTCAAATCTCATCCGATTTTCAAAAGGTTTGGCTTTTTGTTCATGTCTTTGCCTCATTATCAATTCTGCATCAAAATCTGGCAACATAATTTTTGGTCATAATTCATGTCAAAATGGTATATAGACATGTAGACAAAATATCCTATATAGACATACGTCAAAACTTCCCACACCCATAACTTGGTCAAATCTCATCCGATTTTCAAAAGGTTTGGCTTTTTGTTCATGGTTTGGCCTCATTATCAATTCTGCATCAAAATATGGCAACATAATTTTTGGTCATAATTTATGTCAAAATTGTATATAGACATATAGACAAAATATCTTTTATAGACGTAGTCAAATCTTCCCACCCCCATAACTCGGTCAAATCTCATCCGATTTTCAAAAGGTTTGGCTTTTTGTTCATGTTTTTGCCTCATTATCAATTCTGCATCAAAATCTGGCAACATAATTTTTGGTCATAATTCATGTCAAAATGGTATATAGACATGTAGACAAAATATCCTATATAGACATACGTCAAAACTTCCCACACCCATAACTTGGTCAAATCTCATCCGATTTTCAAAAGGTTTGGCTTTTTGTTCATGGTTTGGCCTCATTATCAATTCTACATCAAAATCTGGCAACATAATTTTTGGTCATAATTTATGTCAAAATTGTATATAGACATATAGACAAAATATCTTTTATAGACGTAGTCAAATCTTCCCACCCCCATAACTCGGTCAAATCTCATCCGATTTTCAAAAGGTTTGGCTTTTTGTTCATGTTTTTGCCTCATTATCAATTCTGCATCAAAATCTGGCAACGTAATTTTTGGTCATAATTCATGTCAAAATGGTATATAGACATGTAGACAAAATATCCTATATAGACATACGTCAAAACTTCTCACCCCCATAACTTGATCAAATCTCATCCGATTTTCAAAAGGTTTGGCTTTTTGTTCATGTTTTTGCCTCATTATCAATTCTGCATCAAAATCTGGCAACATAATTTTTGGTCATAATTTATGTCAAAATGGTATATAGACATGTAGACAAAATATCCTATATAGACATACGTCAAAACTTCCCACACCCATAGCTTGGTCAAATCTCATCCGAATTTCATAATGTTTTGATTTTTTTTTATGGTTTGGCCTCTTATGGATTTCACTAATTAAATGTTACTGTTAATAAGCTGTGACGATGTAAGTGTAAGCATAAATTGCTGTTAGATTTGCATTATTCGCCCTGATAAAGTCTTTCGGTATTAATGCTGGCAAATGAATGGTATTTCACAGTAACAATGTGCAGCTTTTAATGTGACGCTGTATATGTTGTTGTAGTTAACGCCATTAAAGTGACCCTGTTTCATTGAATGGACGCCTTGTTATTGACAGTGCCGCTGCAGAGTTGCCACCCTACAGAGCAGTCTATATATGGCAACACCAAAAAATTTGAAAAATATGTGTGAGGCTCGTCCTAATCCATTATTTTGTACTCACCCAGGGAGGTCAAAATGAGAAATATTATAAATACTCCGAATTCCATGAGTGCATCGCGCACCTCCTCGTCGGTGGTGTAGAGAATACGGGAAGCTTTCGCTTTTATAATTTCCCGAGCTCCAATGGTGGATCTGCGGTGTTGTGTAACCTCGGGATCCAATTCACCATCACTTGTCCCCCGAGCTTCTTTACGTCTGAATAGATGGCCAAAGGCGCTGCTGGAGCGACGCCCCGAATGTGTGGGATGTCGCTCAGCGTGCTCTGGCTGTTCGAATCGTGTGCGTATGTGCTCTGGCTGATCGTATTGTGCCGGCAGAGTAGGAGCAGACTCCTCGGGCGGTGGTGCGGGTGAATTCGTCTCTTTTTCCGGCAGAACAACACGCTTCTTACGACGCGATGAACGCCTAGGCGGCAGATCGCTTTGCGTTTCCGCAGTCTGTGCTACAAACTGAGGCGTTGGTGAACTGTCGCCGGGATTTTCAGCCCGCGGACGTGGCTGCACCGGCGGAGGCGGGCCGCGAGGCGAACGCCTCGGCGGCTTGGGACGTGTTGCCTTCTTCGAGGTACTGGGAGTATCTTCGCTTTCAGACATTTTCGGTTATTTTCTTTGTTCTATTTGAATATTCAAATTTAGTTTTTCTTTATTGTTTGTTTTTATTTTTTTTTTTATGGGATTTGTTTATTTCGCTTTGCTTTGTGCTTCACAAGCTGCTCGACTGAGACTGAGCTGCTGGCAAACGGGCTGCTCTCTGACAGCACACAGCTTGAAGTTTGAGCAATGTTTGCTTTGACCTGGCGAGCTATCAAAATGTGGGTATGGCTCACAGTGTGTGTGTGGGTGTGTGTTTGTGTGCATAAAAAATGGCAAGAAACGCAGCGAACATCTGCACACAGCAACTGCATCCTTATAGCCAAACACATACTGGCATCCCCTTTATACATATGCATATTTCATGCGTTAACGCCAACATTTGAATTGCAGCAGCAGCAGGACAGTGGCTGCGACAAGGGCTGCGGCTGGGGCAGGGGCAGGACAGTGGCAGAGGCAGGCTTTGTGGCGGTTGCAACTGCAGGCAGTTTTTGATTTATGTTCCTCCTCAGCGCAACGCCTTTGGGTTATCAGCGCCCAGTTGAGTTGTCAGGACATATAAAAAATGCATGGGAAATCGCATAAATGTGTAAAGATCCCTCAACAAACCGCTCGCATTGGCTTAAGGACCCAGCTCCTTGAATAACACAATAATCTGATATTCTATGCAAATTCAAATAGTTTAACTAAAGTACTTCAACGCCATTTGGCCTTTTTATTTGTAATAAAAAGGCAAAATTAAGCAAATGCCGAGAAATAAATCATTTATTATAAGCAAGTCAAGGAATTTTTCAGTATCGATACATTTTTTGAAATCGCTTACAATAATATGCTTAGAAGCTTTAAGTATAGATGTGAGAAGGTCATATATTAAGGAAATAGGCTTTGAATCCTCTTCGATATAACGAAAGCCACTTTAGATCAAGTAAACTGAAACAGTTCACACGCGAGTTCCGCCTCAGTTATTGTTAATCGATATTTGATTTGATTTGCTATCGAGTTATCGTGAATGTCACAGTTTGTGGCTCTATTGTGAATTACGCGTGACTAATTTTGATCGATCAACAATGGAAATCAGCAGCTTTTTTGAGACCTTAGAGGGGAAAGACTTTGGTAAATTAGAGATAAATAAATATTTTAACTTTTATTTACTTACAAACAGCTGCTTGTTTAATCATCTCGTCGTTTTCGATAGTTATTAAATAAAACTCGTTTATTTTTTTATATTTATTTTATTGTTTGAATTTATTGAAAGGTTTGTTTCTTTGCATTTACTTTAAAATATTTATAAAGTTTAATTTTCAATATTCACTAAACAGCTGTTAAAACTCTAAATCATTTCTTTATCCTTTTTATTAAATATTAGAACTATTTCATAGGTAAATTTATACGTAATTTTTATGCAATTTAAGTACACTTTTTTTTTAATTTTTTGAAAACAAATAATAGCTTGAAATTTCTAACAAAATAGTTTAAAACTATTTAAATATAATATTGTTGTTTTGAAGCAAGAAATCAATTGAAGTTGTGCCTAGGCCAAGATTCAGAAACGAAAGGCTAAGTTTTAAAGTACTACTGACATAGGAAATACGTGTGTGACATTATATTAAAGCTAAGTAGCTGCAGGGCTTTTTTTTTAAACATTTTTCAGTTTTTTTTTGGTGAATTTTTTAAACCGACCTTTTATTTAGCCGACTTAACTGAAATTTGCAATGTGTGCTCGCTACGAACGGAATTTCGAATGTTTTGTGCCATATAACTATGACTACTAAAGGTTATAGTTACACATATGTCTATATATATAAATAAACTTGTATTATAAATATGAAGCCGAGCTGTTTTCGATAACGATTTCGATGCCAATTAAAGCGATTCGAAAATTGCACTCATTTTTGTTGGGTATTCTTTTTACAAATCGAGTCGAAATCTAAATCGAAAACAGATCCGAATTCTTTTTTTTTAGTTATTTTTTATTATATTTTTTTTATTAGCACTAGAAGCTACAAATTAATTTGCTAGTTTAATTTGTTTATATATTTTCTCTTTTTACTTTATGTGTTATTAGTTTTTTTTTCATTGAAAATGTTCGTTTGATTTTCCATTGTTGCTTAACTATTTGGCTTTGAAAATACTTTGGCGCCACAACGCAGCTTCAGTTTTGTGTTGGTTAACATTGTATTGTTTATTTTGTTTTCACCCCTTTTTGACTTTTCCCGTGTTTAGTTTTGTTTTCCTTTCTGTTTTTGCCAACCACATGGATAAAGAATATAATGCACTAGAAATTGTTTTCAGCAAAAGTGATTACAACACGGATGCAACTTTTAAGCTACTTCTTTGGTTGGTTTTGTGTGTGGATACGTTTTTTTGTTTTTGTTTTTATTTTTTGTTTATTAGCTTGTTTTTAATTCCTGTCTGTGCATCTAGCGAAAACATTATTTGTGCCCCCAACTCTTGCCCCACGTTTGCATATTTGGTGTTTTTTTTTTGTTTTTTGTATTTTTTTTTTTTTCCTTAACATTAGAAGATACATTTGATAATTGGTCCTTTGGTTTCAAAACTTTCACGCTAAAAGGCACAATATGGAACTAAACTATTTCTATTTGTGTATCGGTGTGTGTGTGTGTGTTAGCCACGCCCCCCTGCTGTTTTTTAGTAGGGCTTGCCCGAATCCTTTGGCCGCTTTAGCTGCACCTTCAAGCGCTTTGTGCCAATCTGAAAGCCATGCATGGCCTGTATGGCCGCATTTGCCGAATGCGGATTGTCGTAGGAGACGAAGCCGAAGCATTTCGATAGATTTGTTTGCTTATCGATAAACACTTTGGCCGATAGCACATTGCCAAAGGGCAAAAATGTCGAGGCGAGATCGGTATCTATGAATTCCTGAGGTAGATGATAGATAAACAGATTGCTGCCATCGGGACCTATGATTGTAGAGAGTATTTGTTAATATTATTATTGTATGATTAATTTATTATATATTATGTCTGTCAGTGGTCGCTCGATAAATGGGCGAGTGTATCAATTCATACTAAAGAAATGATCGAATTTGTATATTGACTGAATTCTGGATTGACTGTCTGAAGAATTGAAAAACTGTCTGATGGATTGATTGGTTGACTAATTGATTGATTGATTGACTGATTGCTGATCTTCACTTTATCCAAGCTGTTATACGTGAATATTCTGATGGGATTTCGAAAATGTCCTACGTCTACTGGGGCAAATGGTTTTATGGATTTGTTTTTTTATTTTTTTTTATTTTTAATATGTAATAACTGTCAAACAATATGATTGCTCCCCAATTAGCGTCTTATTCTGTTGAAAATGAAAGTCCCGATTCTAATAACTGCAAGTTGTTAAATGCGAGCGTTCACTGTAGGCATTTTTGGACTTACCCTCGATCTGTTTGCCTGCCACGCCCGCGGCGGCTGCCTGCAAGGCGCTGGCATTCAATGACTGAGCGGCTCCATAAGCCGCGGCGCTGGCGCCGTTGGTCAGGCTGCTTAGTGTGCTGGTGCCGTAGGGATCTGTGGCGCTGGCGGGCCCTAAAAATATGTGAGAATTTTCGATTTAAAAAAAATGTTGCATGTACAATACGAAAAATGTTGGCGCCGGGCTAGAGAGTGGAATAAAACCATATATGTAAGTTGTTGTTTGTTGCTTAAGCTTATGCAGGTTTTTGTTTGATAAAAACCAATTACACGACACACAGAGAGACAGAGACAGAGACGGACTGCTGAGACGCCCACACACTCTCACACACGCACACTCACTGAGTTAACGCATATGGAAATCGGGCTTTATATATTTGCACACAGGTTTTTCTTTGTTTTGCATTGCATTTTGTTGTTGTTGTTTTTTTATTTATTTTTTCTTCTGCTGCCTTACATTATTAAATTTTATACATCCTTTTGTTGTAGCATAAAAAAATTTGTTAGCCTTTGTTATGCGCACGGCGCCTGTTTTTTAATTGAGCCGAGACCCAGCCCCAAAACCGAACCCCAACCCCAACCCCCACCGCACGTTTGCTTTGTGCAACACACACACACACACACACACACACACATACACTCACAAAGTTTTGTAATCTACTAAAAGTTTATTACGTTTTCTCGTCGTTTCTTTTGTTATTTACATACGTGTAATACATAACAAACAGATGAAAATAAAAAACCTACTAAAAATAAAGAATAAAAACTTGTTACGCAATGAAAGTTTTGCATTTCATGCAATTTTATATGCACTCGACATGTGGGGAAAGAAAAAACAAAAAAAGATGAAAATCATCATAAACATTGTTCATTTTCTTTTTATTTATCATCAAATTATGGCTCTGCATTTTTTATGCGCAACATTTATTTTATTTTGGGCTTGGCTGCACAATTTAGAGAGTTATTAATTTTTCAAAAAGCCTACAGGCATATTGGGGAAATGGTAATTGAAGAGCTGTCTAATCAATGTTTAAAAAATAACAAATCGATAACATTTTACTGAGCGCTAGGGTTGCTAAGACTAACGATATTTGTGCTGCGCTTCGATATTTTTTTTAATCGATTATTTAAATCGCATCTGTTTAAGAATGTATCTCTTTTATTTAAACTTTATTGATACACCGCATTTTTTTATAATATGAATGATATCGAATATATGCGATTTTACACCTAAATTGACCCATTTTATCGTGTGTATCTTTCTCTGCGTCGATATGGATCGATTCTCTATTATATTAGATAGATTTGATCGTTTATTATTGTATATTAGATAGATTTTATGGCTTATAAGATTTTATTGTATATTAGACTAAACTGGTTTTATAAGTTTAGAATATTTGCCTTTAGTTATAAACTAATAATTTTGCTGCCTCTCTATACATTTATTGTTGTTTCTCTTCTTCAAAGGGCCCAAAGAGTGCATAGAATATTTAAATAAAATGTCCATTGTGTTGTAACTTTTAAGCCCTTCCGACGTTGATTATCTCAGCGCTGGCATTATATTTGTGCATAAAATTCACCATGAATTCAACACAAAATATATGCAAAAAGTATTTTAATACCTATTGTCAAACCTTTGAGGCCGCGAGTTTATTTTTCAGGCTTTTAATTCATTTCGATGACTATGTTCAGATCCTGATAGGATTTTGATTTTGAAACTGACGTTGCAATTTTTTTTGTTTTTTTTTTTGTTATCTTTATATTTTATTTTATTTTGTGATTGCAATCATCCACGTTCTGTAGCTGTGTCAATTTTTTTCTTCTATTTTTTGCTGTCAGTGGCATGATTTGATTTTTTCCAGTTGCTTTTATTAAATTTTTGTTGTGTCCAAATTGTAAAATTGTGAAACGCTTTTTTTGTTATTGTTATGGCATAACAATTTTTATTGACAGAGTGTGTAAATAAAAACAGGCAGCACTTGAACAGTTAGAAACAATGCAAAGGGGTGGCACACGAGGGCTCAACTACATGTGTTTTTAATTAACAATAGGCTGGTTGTGGGACCGAGTGAAGGGATCTCTTTTGCAGGTGGCCGCGCTTAGAATAGAGTTGCATTTTGGTATATTTGATAAGGAAATTCAACTAACTGGATTTCATATATTCTTTAGTTTTTAGAAGATCAAAAAACAATTTATTAGGAATAGGTTCCAGCTTTGTATATTAAAATGAATAAGTTGGCAGAGGTTTTTAACATACTCAAATTTATTCGTTTTCGACAATCAATCTAAAAATTAAATTAAAAAAGGAGAACTATTCGAATAGGTTTTATTTACCAAAATCGTAATCGACTGATTGCGCCTTATTATTTCTGGGTCTAACATATATATAGAGGCTTACGTAAAGAAAATAGTGAGCCTTTTTTGATGACCCAAATATAAAACACATCACTTATCGATAGTTTAAGTTTGGCTATCGATAATACAAATTTATTATTGAAGGTACCATCGATTGTTATTGTTTATTTATGTACATAAAATGTGTTTTAAGCAATTCTAATAGGAAATTTTCTCCCTTAAAAAAATTCTTTAAATATTAAAAAAAAAAAATATTTTAAGAAAATACTAACATCTTGTATTCGAATGTCAAAAATGTAAGATACCCGTTAATTTTTTTTTGTATATTTAAAACTTTTGCTATACAAACCTTTCAGAACTTAGTTTTACAGCCCCAATATGGTATATTGTTATGGTATTTAGTTCTTTGAATGTTATACTCAAATTTGAATGTCAAATATGTAGGATATCGATAACTATTTTGGTTTTTAATTGTTCAGTAACACAGTTATTTTTAAGGCACTAATATAGTACTGGGAGAGCTTAAAGAGTTGAAAGGATTTATGTTAGGTTCAGTTAGTTTATATATAGCATACATTTCGGGTAACTGTTTTGTGTAGAGGTTTTTAGTAGGGCGGGGCAAGGCGCATGCAGGCGGCAATTTTTGGTGTATTGAGGAATTGAGCGTGAGTGGGTGTGAGGAGGTTGTGTGTGGTGTGTGCAGGCTTGTTAATTGTAAATGCACTCTTAGTACACAAGTTGAAACAGACAGTTAACAGTTAGATACACGCACATTCACACCTGCTACAATTAGACACACACACACACACACACACACATACATACATACATACATACATACAGAGTTGGCATGTACTTACAAAGCGCGCTCAGCGTGAGCGTTTGGCTGGCGCTCGCTGGCGGCGGTGGCGGTGCCACGCCCATTAGCTGAGCTAAGTTTAGGCTGTGCTGCGCATGCGTGACCAATTGTCCAGCGCCGGGCGCATAGCTGGCGGCGAGCTGGCGTTGATGGCTATTGATGCTGTTATTGTTGCTATTGGGGATGTGACTGTTGCTGTTGCTGATGCTGCTGATGTTGCTGATGTTATTTAAGTTGCTGCTGTGGCTGCTGTGAAGGCGGTGGCTGTGACTGAGGCTGCTGACGCTGTTGCCGCTGTGCTGCTGCTGCTGCTGTGATGCGTTAAATAGTGTTACCAGATTCTGCATAGACATGGGTGCACTGGCGAGCAGTCCAGCGCCAGCAGCATGCCCGGCGGCAGTGAGCCCGCCGCCGCTGCTGCCGCCGCCGCCGCCGCCGTAGCCGGATGCGGTTGCGGATGATGCGACGCCAAGTGGGAGAGATGATGATGATGGTGGAGCTGATGCTGCTGCTGCTGCTGCTGCTGACCCGGCGACAGCTGCTGCTGCTGCTGCAGCGTTGGCAGCCGATAGAGTTGCTGCTGCGCTGCCGGCAGCGCCGGATGATGGGCCGTGTTGGCCGTGGTGGGCACTGTTATCCGGTGGGTGGAAATTTAGTCCTGTTTTCAGTTTCCATTTTTTTTTTTTTGGTTTTTTTTTTTTTTTTTTGTACAGTTTTTGAGTTTTGGTTTATGGTTGTAAGGTTTGGTTGAGTTGGTTGATTGATTGATTGATTGATTGAATTGTTTTGTACATGACCACAGAGTCAATCATAGACATACCAAAAAATGTTCAACGAATATTTATATATATAAAAAACATAGAAGAAAACACACACCCAATTGGATTATTTACATTTACAAGAAATTAAAAATTAATTTTGTTGATTTTTTTGTTTTCATGTAAATATATATAACATACAAATCATAAAACATAAATAAACAAAAAAGAGCAAAACGAATAAAAATGAAAAGATAACGTAATAAATAAAATAAAATGAGTAAAAAACATAAAAGACCAAATTTAAGGTTTCAAATAAAATAATATAAATATGAATCAAGGCAAGAAATTAGAAATGTGATATTTTCGAAATAATCAATAAATAAAAAGAAATTAAATAAAAATAAATGAAGATAGTAAATTGAAAATTTTGAAACTTTTAAATAAATTGATTTTAAATTAAAAAAAAAATAAGTGAAAATAAAAATATAATTGATATAAAATGAATAAATATATTAAAACGCATAGACATAAATTCAATTTCAAATGCAGTTAGACATATAATAATAATAAAATAAATAAATTAAAATAAATTAATTATTGCATTTGCATTAAAAGGCGCTATTAAAAAGGCTGCTCGAAATGAAAGGCGTGGCGGGATTTGAATTGATTTTGGATGCTGTTTTCAACTGAAATCTGTTGTTTTTGCAACATTCGAATTGTAAATTTTGTCTTTATGAATTGGTTGGTAACTAAATTAGTTTGCAAGCAGCTACACAAAACGAGACTCCTGAACATAAAATAGAGTACAATAAAATTGATAGAGCAAGAGAGTTAGAGTGAAAGGTAGAGAGACGGAGCGAGCAACATATAAACTGTCAGGCATGTGTATATATATATATATATATATATGTGTGTGTCCGTGTGTATGTATGTGGCGTGTGGCATGCCCACAAATATAGATGAGCACAGACATGGGGCACAACATTCAACAAAACAGGCAGAGTTTTTAGATACCTTTACTGCTTAGACCTTGTCTATTGCTTTTGAGTTTTCACTACTTTCCAAGGAAAATTTCACTTTGAATGAGCTGCAAGTTGGCCGCTGGAAAAGCCATTATTTCAACTATCATAGACAATGCATTACCTTTATGTTAGCACCCACTTAGATCCTCAGGGCTTTGTCGTCTTCATAAAATTTTAAGTGCGCTTCACCTGCGGCCAGGTGCACCGAGAGAAATTATTTGTCTACCAGAGGCCAAAATAGTCTACAATCGTATTGTGCTTTACCTAAATTTGGGCAACCATTTTCCATCTAATATAAAGAGATGTTTAACGCTCTTAAATGTTGCACGTGATTTTTTTTAAATAAATACGGAACATTTTAACAAATTCTTTTTTAAATTAATAGAATCTTCTTTAGAGCATATTTTTTGCAATGTTTTGGCCTACTTCTCCAAAGACTTCTCATGTTATTGATTTTGCCGTTTTAGAAAACTTTCTGCAAGTGTAGTCGCACTTTGAGTCTCCTTTTTTTCTTCGCCCTTTTCCTTCTCTTTTAGCTTGTGCATTTGTTTACATGCCAGCGCCCTTCTCGGTGACCCGGGGCTACTTGGTATTACCAGGCGCTCCTCGCTTGTCCCCCCTCTTTTGTTAGTAATTCTTATGCCTTCCTTAGGCTTTACGCCAGCGCAAGGCTTTGATGCTGCGCTGCCTGTGGGCCTTGGCGTGGCTTATAAAAATTGCAGGCCCAAATATGCCAGACGTGTGTGGCCAGGTCAACAAAAAATTAACCAAAAATAAAGCCAAGGCACAGACAAAGCCGTTAGGCAAGTGCCACACATGCTGACGCGCCATATTAAATAATTGGCACGAGCCACGCCCCTTTGGCTAAAACTTAACGCGAAAAAAATGTTCTTAAACAAAACTTTCAACGCAAATTGGTTAAATCAGCCACATTTACAGGTTGCACACTTAACGGACACGGGCACTCTTTCGTTATTTTTTTGTAATTGTTTTTTTTTTTTTTTCATAGTGCACTCACATAAAAGGCACGTCCCATACATTTGCTGACCATCAGCGCACACGCCCCATTTTGAGTCAAAGTCTGCGTCTCGGAGTCCGGTTGCTGACATTTAAAAAACGTCATTTGTTATTCAAGTGGCATACGTCGCTCTAAGTTGCCTCTAACTGCCCATCTCTGGCCCTGACTGTCAACGCTTACCGTTGTCGTTAACTGTTCCTCATTTGCTCCACCAGCTGCAGTCTGTGCTGTACGCGCCAAGAGTATATTGGCTTGGCCATGAAGTTTGTAACAGCCGACCAAAGAAGACAATTTCTATGAAGGGCGCAGAGAAGCTTGCATTGTATTCCAGACATTAAGAGACTTTACTGGCAGTCAGTATTCGATGCATTTTTCGTTTTATAGGTGTTCGATTATTCACTAATTTTCTACTAAATTTGATTCATCATTAGCCGAGCTTCTTATTGAAGAGCATTTGAATGTGCCGCGTGTAAGGCGGATTACATCAACATCAACATCAGTGTTTTTTACGATTACATCACGCGCCGCTCAACATTTGGCTGTCTGTGATTCTTTTCGTTCTTTTGTTGCTGCTGCTGCCAACTCTTGTGCTTGATTTGTTATGCGCAAAATGTGCACGTCGTCGAGACTGGCCAGACGGGCTGGCGGGCTGACGGGCAGATGGGCAGATGGGCAGAGAGACAGTTGAGAGTTGGGTTGGTTGCGAAAAAGGTTCCATAGTGCCGTCGGCATGGGCGTGGCATGTTGGTCATTCTAATGAAGCGCCGTTGCATATGCAACACGTTCACATTGACGCCACGTACGTGTCGCTGTATTTGTGTCTGTCTCTCTAACTGTCGCCCATATTTGTATCTGGCAACTGTTTTGTTGTATCTTCAGTCCGAAATCTGTGCAATGCCTTGGCCACTGCCAGCGCCCGTCCACCTTTTAATCCTATTAGAATTTTTGTTTTATTCATCATGCTCTTTAGTTCGGCCTGATGCTCAAAAGCTTCCCCTTTTAGCAACAGTGTTTACTATATCATTTTGATACCCTGCACCCAATGCAAAAGGGTAAAAGGGAAAGCTGGTTTTGTGCAAATGTTTATAATAGACGGTAAAAGTTAACTGTGGCTCCCTTAAGTTTATATATAATATCTTAGGGATGTCAAGCTGTCGACTTAAGATTTTAGACATATAATTCAATATGTTATACGTAAAAAGAGCTCAGAATTTTTGTTTGATAGCATCTTTTTATTTTTACAAAATCCATAAATAACGACTTTGATTATAGGATCTATATACTATGAGTAGCATAGGAACATTTCTCTATTTTCATCCCTCTTTCATTTTCCTCTTAATTAAATAATAAAACCTTATTAATAAAGGTAGAACCTACCGCTTTGGCATATACACACAGTTGGGTGTCATATTAAAGCCCTGATGCACATAGGTCTAGGCGAAGAGGAAGCACAGTCGCCGCATGTGTGTGTATGCGTGGGTACAGGGTATCAGCTAGTCGGCCACCCCTGGCTAGAGAACTCATACTTGCTTCATTGTTCACGCTCTGTTCTACATTTATGTAAATTTCGTTTGCTTAAATTGAAATTAATTATTTGACAGTTGTCGCTTACAAAATGACTGAAGAGACTTTGGCTTCGGCTTAGTGGAGAGGCGGGGCCAGGTGTTGGGGTTAAGGGGGGGGGGGCAGCTTCTGTTCGCCTGTTATTCATGTCTTTGTTAGTTTCCCTTTAGCTGACTTTGTGTCAGTCGAGAGAGGTCGCTTGTTATAAATGAAGCGACACGACAAGTTAAGGGAGAACACAGAAATAAAATGGAAAATATAAAAAATAAATAAATGAAAAAATTGCTGGCTTCTGCAACTTTTACATTAATTCTTGTTTACTTTTTTAAATGCTCAACAAATGACTGCCGTGTCCAGGCGCTTAGTTTGCTACATTTAAAGTCATTTATCTTTCGGCTACGCAACAAAATTTTGGCGTAAAGCAAACCCAAACTGACAACTGGAGACCCAACAAGAAATTGTGTGTTGTTAAAGCAAGTCCAGATTGGCTAACTAGAGTTAAAATCAAGAAGATGTGACTTAAGATCTAAAAGATTGAGGAGTGTCAGATAAATAAAACTGGAGATTTTTACGGATAATAGAACTGGACATTTCTACAGCTTCTTATGCTAAATAAGAAAGTTAACAACTTAATAAAGCATAAGGAGGTTAATTGTTAGATTGGTTTATGGCAGCAATATAAGTAACCTGATGTTATTATTTAACATTAGGTTAGTTTCAGGAATTTTATAATGCCCTAGTTAGAGTTCAAGACTTATTATTCATAATCAAGTTCATGTGTTTTGTAAAGTCCAACTAATTCTTTTAGATTTAAGATTTTTGATCTCTTATATATAATATTTCATCAACAAATCTTCAAGCTTAGCTTTTACAGCGTTTTTGCAGCTCATTCAAATTGTTTTTTCCTCTGATTTTCTAGCCAATCATTTCCTTTGTCTTGATAACCCTTTTGATTATCTTCTTACGAAAATCGAATTCACATAGAAAACCAAAATAAACACACAAAACTAGACGCTAACTAATTAAAATTCCAAACGTAAAACAAAGTTCGGTGGCGAAACGAAACGAAATGCACAAAACAATTAATTTGATAGATAAATACAAATTTTTTAAAAAGTACAACGAGATAAACTAAACACGCAATTAAATAAAACAAAGGAACAATTTTTTTTGGTTGCATTAAAAAAAAATTTACGAAAAAACACAAATCACAAAGTGCGCGCAATTAATACGAGAATTATACGAGAAATAGTTTGTTTTTCGAGCGAAAAACAAGGAAAGAAATATATATAAAAAGAGAAAGAGAGAGAGAGAGAGATGCAGACAGACAGAGAGATAGAGGAGAGAGAGAGAGAGAGAGAGAGGGAAAGAAACACTGTGGTTTTTTCTGGTTGTGGTAATGACTAACTGAGCTGAGGAATCGTTCACGTTGGGAGTTTTGTTTGGGGTTCGGAGAAAGGGTCTTATCGACTAACTAATTCGTGGTTCGAACCCCACGCACTCACCTTGCAGATAGTGTGCCGGATGCAGAGCATAGGCCTGCATATGCTGATACAGCTGCAGGTGGGCAGCCGATGCTGGTCCCAGGCCGCCCGTCGGATCTGCACTCAGGTGATAGGCAGCTGCGGCAGCAGCTGCTGCGGCGCCCGGAGTCTGTGCATGATGCGGACTGCTGCCGAGCAAGGCCGGCGCCAATGAGGCGCTCAGCGCCGCCGATGTGGGCACCGTGACCAGTGTGGCCGTTTGTCCGGCTGCTCCGGCTTGTTGAACGGGCGGCACACCGGCCAATGCGGCTGCCATTGATGGATTCGTGCGCTGCGCTGCCGGCGCTGCGGCAATCAGCGCAGTTGCCGTGTTCGCCGTGGGCGTGGCAGCAGCAGCTGCAGCCCCACTGGGCGTTTGGGTGAGTGCACTGATGCCGCATATGGCCTGCAGCTGCTGCATCTTCTTTTGGTCCTTCTCCTTTTGCGTATCTGCGAACTTAACGACCAGCGGCGCCGAACAGCCCTCCATGGTTTGGCTCTGGTGCAGGGCCTGAAAATATGAGAGGGATTTTGTTGTGAAGTAATTGTTTTAAATTAATCTGTATATGTACAAGTACGAGTGAATGCCCTTAATGACTGATTGAATGAATGCCTGACTGACTAACCGATCAACTGATTTACTGTGGCTGATTGAGAGCGGGGTTTTGTTATAAAGTTACTGAAGATAATTCTTTATATATAACACAAACTGTTTTCATTGACGTTGGTCAATTAGCCAGATTTATATCCTGATTGACTTAATTAACTTATATGTTGTGTGAATGGTTGAGATATTGGTTGGGGGATAGGAGAGGATATCCATATTGAGAGAGTGGTTTGTTATAGTAAATGTAAAGTAATCTGTATATAAAATTGAATTTCCTAATGGTATGCTGATTGAGCGAGGTTTTCTTTATTAATCTGCATGTATAAAACTGAGTGTCCTAATTGAGTAATTGATTGACTTCCTGGTTGATTGATTGGGGTTGATTGACATGCTGGTTAAGACAGGGGTTTTCTTATATCTACTGTGAATTAATCTATATATAAAACTCTATGATTGACGATCTGTCTTACTGATAAATGGATTGACATTTCAATCAATAGACTGATACATTTTTCTCAACAATGACATAGTGTTCTTAATAATTCTAAGAGCTCCCATGTCCGATCGTCCATTCACTCAAGCACTTATTTAATAATTTCTATTGAACTCGATGTCACTTGAGTAAAGTTCCCTTGAACGCCTTTGCCCCAATTACAATCTTCGTCAGCCCCTGCAGCTCATCGAAGTTAAATGCAGCGTCAAGAAGACATAACGAGGGCAACGTTAGCTGTACACATAATTTTTATAGCCGCAGCAAAATAATGACTCGCACTTAAGCTAGAGAAACGCGGGCAGTAACAAATCCAATGGTTGTCCAAAGCTTCCTGCGGCTCTGCTGATCCTGCTGCTGCCGCTGCTGCTGGTGCAAACCACAGCAATTTTGCCTAAGCGACTTAATTTACACCTTTCACTAAGCCTGACAACAACAAAAGCAAACAAATGGACACGTAACTAAAACATAAACCAGGCCAAATCGCGCCCATTGGAGAGTGGTGGAGCAAAGGAAGGAGGGGTGGTTGGGGCAAGGGAACGGGCCCAAGCCACTTTAGTCATTTCCCGGTTTATGTAGACTTTATCATTGAGACCAGGCGACGAGCCTCGCCAACTTCCGCTCAATTGTGGCCGGAGCCGACAGTTTGTGAAAACTGGCGGCTGTGGCCGGGCCGGCTCTTGGGTCTCGCTCCTCGTCCTGGGCTGTCGGGTCGGGGGCTGCGGTGTATCCTGGCACAGCCAACAGAAGTGCTCTTTAATTACATTGACTATAATTCTTGCGGCTGTGGCGCGACTTTTATGACCGGCTGCTGCAGCTGCTGTTGTTGTTGTCGTTGCTGTTGTTGCAGTTGTTGCAGTTGCATTTGCAGTGCCGCATCCTGCTGCTGGCAACAAAGTAATTAGGCAAATTTCCGAGTTTTTAAACAGGTCACTAAAGTTGCTGTTGTCCTTGCTGGCAAAGCAAAAAGTTGAAGAAAAGTGTACTAGAAGCACGGACTATATAGCACAACAATAAGTGTTTTTTTTTCAATTAAGAAGTGCTAAGGTTATCGCATTTTTATCGCCAACAGCATGGCGAGGCGATGCGTTATAGGAAAGTTAGAGATTGTGTGCTTAGATGCAGATTACTTATCTACATAAAAAACTGTTTACTTTATCATAAATATCGTACAAATATCCTTTAAGCGATACTGAATTCTGAAAGAATGGATAAATTTGGGTATTGTTGGAAGTTGAAGAAAAATGATTTTATTTTTTGTTTTCCTCAGCGGCAGCAGCATCAGCTACTGCGTTGTGTCGCTTGTCAGTGCCGTAATCTTGATCTGTTTGCCCAGCTGAAAAACGGGTTAAATGACCTGGTAATCAGCATGAAACTCTACTTACAGTCCGAGCCAAGAGCCCAGAACCACTTGACAAATTAGCGCGAAGGAGCAAATCTGCATGTGATGAAAAATTGTGTAGCATCATTTGCTCTACACACCAAATGCAAATAAAAAGCAGTCTGCGGAACGCAGCAACAAAAACAAAAACAACAACAACAACAACAACAACAGCTTTGAGTGGTTGGTGGGCGCTGGGCGTGGCAGCTGCGCTATTCTGTTGAAATAAATTGCTGAGGTTATAAACATGGCACATTAATATTAAATGCATTTCGCTCTAGCTCGTTGGCGTATTGCATACTTTCAGGCGTCAATGGACTGCAATGACTTGCAGCTACTAGCCACGCCCACGGCCCACCGCCCGCAGCCCATCGCACACAGCCAACCCCAAAGACCCGAGCCCTTAACTCATTCACTCGCTTACTTTGCCAAATCATTTGGCCAGCGTCGGCAGCAGCAGCAGCATTGCGTTTGGCTTGGTGCGTGCTTCGCATTCAGTAATTTGACTTCTAATGCATTAAAATTGCACAACACACACACACACACACATACACACATTATTTATATATATATATATATATATATATATAAACATATTTATACATGTTTTTGTCTGTGTCTGTATATAATGCAGCTCGCCCGCAACACATTCATCTTGCAAAAGGCGACAAATTATGTGCAATGCACAGAGACACAGGGACAACATGTTTAGGTCGCCCACACTTTGGGTCCACCCTAATGTCGCTTCAGCTCCTCCCATCCCGCCTCTAACACACGCACACCCGCTGCTGCTCTTCTTGCTGTACATGTGTTTGTGTTTGCCTGTCGGAAGTTTGTAATTTTGCCTGTTTCCGGCACAAAACTTGCATTAGTGTGACATGTGTGTGCGAGTGTGTGTTTATGTGTGTCTGCGTGTGTGTGTGTGTGTGTGTGTGTGACCATTGCAGGTTGGGCGCATGGGTTTTGCTATGGAATCTGCTCTGTGCTCTGCCATGGCAAAAGCATTGCCGTTGACTTCTTCCGCTGCCAGCGGCGGCGTCTTGCTTGCATTTCTACTTCCTGTTGCCGCTGTTGTTGTTGTTGTTGCTGTTGCTGTTGTTGCATGCGGTTATGCGCAGGCATTTAAGCATTTACATAGGGTATGCTAGGCCTGCTGGGCTGTCAGAGTATTCATGCTCATTACTTGTAAAGTCATAAGAACGGGTTAATTAGCAGATAGTCGGGAAACGGTCTGCCAAAGTCGAGCGTATTTAATTGTATAATTTAATTAAAAATCATTAAATTATAAATTAAAATATATAATTACGGCTTTGTAAGGATTGATTTGGCATTCTTAGTGCATACACTGACTTACATGTATACAACTTTTTTACGGGCATTTTTTTATAATGTATTCTCATCATTCCCAACAAGTTTACGTATTGAATTTTTATATAAACTCGTTGATCTATAGAAATCATGGCTGAAATCCCAACAAAGTTTTAAGTGGTTCGCCTCACAATTCGTAAGCCTGCTTTTCCGCATTCATGAACTCAGATTTTGGTTCAAGTCTTGTTGCCTCTCACATTAACAGGTTTAAAAAATGTTATATACATTTTTTTTAACGAAATTAGTTTATCAGTTCTGAGTACAAATCAAAATGTGAGAGGAGCTAAAAATATTTGCCAAAATAGCTAAGCAGAAAGTTTGTAATAAAAAAAAGTTAAAAAATAAATAAAATAAAAACTTGCCACCTGTGGATGGTTACAGCAATTTGACAGACAGACAGAATAGATATGGCAGTACTAATTTATATATAATTATATATATATTGATATACCCGACATCTACTTATTTGCTGGGTATATCAAAACAGGGATTGGTAAGATTTGCGTGTTGTTGATAGATGTTTACATTTTGAAGAAGTTTGGGCTATTGATTTAATCTTTGTTATTCAAAGTTACAGGGTATCATTTGGCTAAGCAACTATTAAGGGCTCACAGTTGGTGTGTGTGTGTTTTTGCCGGCGTGCATCGTGTTTTATATGCGCGACTCTTGCCGCCACAGCAATTAATCATTGCGACAGTTTTGCGATGCGGCCAACACAGATACTCTCACACACACACACATACTGCATTATGTAACAATGGAATGCTTAAATCCTTAAAGTGCGCTTCTTTCAATGCTGATCAACTATTTGATAAATATAAACATATATAGCTATATCTCACCTTGATCGCCCCAATGGCATTCTGTTTGGTTGCGAATGTTACGAAGGCGCAGCCCTTGCTTTGGCCCACCTGATCCCGGAGCACGGTGCACTCCTCGATGGTGCCGTGGCCCGTGAAAAGTTGCCGCACATCGGCTTCCGTAAATTTTTTATTCAGCATGCCAACAAAAAGTTTGCGCTCTGCAAGAAACAAAAAAAAAAAACAAAAATCATAAAATTAAATATATAAAATCCAGCAGAAAATGTTAACTAATTATAAAAAAAAAAAACTCACGTAGCTACAAAAAGAACAATTATGAAATGCACAATTAAAAGTCGTGTGGAGGCGGCGGAGGAGGGGTTGAGAGGGAGTTGGGCTTGTAAAAAATATGCAAGCAAACAACATGGCGACAGTTTTAATTGTTTCGATTGCACTGCACACTGAACACAGAATGGGGTATATTGGGTTTGTTGTAAACCTCGTCGGGATCACGACAAAATTTACCTTCGCCTTTATGGGTACACTTTGGGAGTCAAAGTTGGGGACTTACAGTTTGAAGGTCACAATGCCTATAATAAGGGAGAATTTTCATTTTGCAGAGTATCTTACAGTCTCTTGTACCTTACTGCGAAATGAATGGGCAACAACTGTACATATAATATGCTCTTAAGCCAGTTTGGCTATATGTGTGTGCGTTTGTTCGTTTGTGTGTGTGTGTGGGTGTGTTTGGGGTGTGGCACTTGACTGCAACTTCAAGTGGCATTTAATGACTGCAGAAACTGTTGCCTGGCCCAATTTTTGAACTAACTGAATGAAGTATTGTTCGCTTGGCGAGTTTTCAACAAGTCAAATGAGCTTCATAAAGGCGCCATTAAAAGCTGGCAGAAGCGTGCAACAATTTGTGGCAAGCAGTCTTTGGTTGAACTGATTTAACATGTGGCATGCGTAATATACGCAGAATTTATCAGCCATAATTAATCAGCTAGCAACTTTTGCAAGCAACTTTAAAAGTCATTTTCTGCGCAATTGACAAGCAGCTGCTGCAAGCAACTAGCAACTTGCAACTTGCCACCGACGGAAATAACTTTAAGCTGCAACAATAAATCCAAGGAACAAAGCTCGATTGCTGCCCAGGCCCCAGTAGGGTATTTGTGAGCAAACTTTTTGCATGGCAATTGCATGCTTTATCTTGGCCCAAACACAAAACGCATACGCTGTCCCGCCCCTCTCCACATTGAACCCTACCAGCATGCAAAATGCGTTGCAAGTGTTGTTGGCCAAAAGTTTGGAGCGCACATGCAAAAGACTAAAAACGCAATCGCAACAAATCGAATCATTGCAACAACAAAGCGCATGCAAAACTTTTCATTTTGCAACACTTTAGAGAAGCGCCCCCAAAGTTTCCACTGCACAGACAACACTCATACGCAACGTGGTGCCGTCCGAGCCGTCCGAGGGGAGTGCTGAGGGGTTGAGCTGATGTGGCAACAAAAGGAGGCATTGGCAACCAATGCCAGCTACATCTAGCTTCAAAAATAAACTAAGCATGCATTCCAACTACTCTCAAATACCCTAACTTGAGCTTGTCTGACTTGCTGAGCTTATTTGGCCAAATAAAATGTTTGAAATTATTTTTGTGGTTTGTTTTAAAAGCTTAGACACATTTTTGTGAGACTCTTTTTGAGAAGTTTCTATAATAGAAGCAGCAAGGAATGGTAAATGTTTTCAGCATAATTCACTTCAACCGGGCAACGATTGGTAATTTCTTCTGGTGTATTATATAGTTAATATTACCTTGATTACTTGTATTAACTATTTAAAACATTTGTGGAAAACTATATCATTTATAGTTTCAATGGAGAATGTGTATAAATATTCAGTTTCTTATATAAATTAGACCAAATTTTATTAAGATTTTATGCGAGGGCAACAAATCTTCGCCAGATCGTAGAAGCTAGCCTCTGTTCCGTTTATTTCTCTACTTTTATCAAGTCTTTTTTTCTCAACTGGCATTCGGTACCCTTCTTGGGGCCTGCGTCGTAAAGTATAAATATAGAAAATTGTGTCGCTGCAACGGAAGTGATTGGAAATTGTTGCGTTTCGCCTGGAAGACGTCGATTTTTTGGAAGGAATGAGTGGGGCATACGATGCATGGCACTCAGCTAGAGCCTCTGGTCTTGCCCGTTGGTCTTATCGAACGGAAAGTTTTTCTCCACACACACACACATACACACACACGCACACCCTGTTGCTAAATACACACATACATGGATTGGAGTTTGTTCATTCTTTTGTTTGCCGCAGCTGGCAGCCCAGGCACCTGCCTCTGACACAGGTGCGAGAAATTTATTTGAGGTTAGTTCAGGTGTGACACAGAAAGTAACATTTTATATATTTATTGTATGGATTTGCCATTTCAAGTTGCAACTTTGCGCCAGCAAAAGATAACCAAACTATATGACAAAAAAAAAAAGAAGAAATTGGGGGCAAGAACGAACCAACATATTGCAACTGACTCAGCGACAGGTGCAACGATGTTGTTGCTGAGAGCTTGTTAAGCACCTCTGGCATGTGAGAAGAATAAAAACAGAGGGGCAGAGAGGAAAGAATGAGAGAGAAATAAAAGGGGGAGAGAGCTAGCTAGCGAGCGCCGCTGATTGGAAAGTTTTATGCGCACGTGATTTTGCACCGATAAAGATGGCAAAGTCGAGCCAAGTATCTGCAAGTATCTACAAGTATCTATAAGTATCTGCGTTGTATCGGCGAATGCGCGTTTGCTGTTACTGACATGCCATAAATTGCGCTACCGATAAAGTAACATAAATGTGGCTCCAATAGGAGCTGCCGGCTGCACTTAATTTAAAGCATAAAATATTGTATTTGGTGTATAAAGTCTGATTAGACGGTGATGCAAGCTTTGAAATGGGGAAACAATCCTTGATTAGACTTGGCTAAAAACTGTATTGCTCGTGTTAAGTAAGGGGATGTCAGGATTTCTACACGTGTTAAGAAAGAGTCTCTTATCTGCAATTATGACTTCAGTAACAAGCAAAAATAAAAACCATTTTAGACAATTTAAAAAATATTTTGTAGAAATCAGTTTACTTATCCGATTCTTTCCCGATCATGCCAGAACTCTGTTTGCATTTCAATCAAACTTCGTCGTTATGATAAAGGGTATCTTAAATCGATTGTATTTCTCTGTTGCCGCATAAACTGAATCTTGACATGCTCATGTGCATCATTAACACACGAAATAATTCGACAATTCGTAGACCTTAATGTCCACTGTATAATGTCAGCTCTGCGCAGCTTCTCAGTTCCAGCCAGAGGACATCGCACAGTTTCTTGGCAGTTGCAGTCAAGGAACCTCATTTAACCAACTCGCGCTGCACAGCCGACATTGCTGCCCCTCCTTTGTCGGCACAATTGCAGCTGTAGCTGCCCCATTACAGTTGCAGAAATTGCAATTTCACGACAATTACCACAAATTGGTTTCCTCAACCGGCGACGCTCACTTCGTCCTCTCGAGTTGCAACTGCTGCTGCTGCTGCTGCCCTTCGTGCCTTCCGTCTTACAATTATGCAGAGAATGAAATGCGCATAAAGTTCGCAGGCTTCGCGCGGCATATAATTTTTGGGGGGCAAACAACCGCCCACTTTCCTGCCCGCCCCCGCCATGTAAGCTCATCTGACCCTGGAGCAAAGCCCTGACTTGGCATATGATGTCGTTAACTGTCTTAAGATTTATGTGCCGAGTCAAAGACGGAAACTGCACTTAGCTCCTGCCCCTTGCCCCCTCCCATATTCACACTTCGCACTTGAGACATCAACTTTTGTGTCAGAGAGTTGGGCAAATTTTCGGGCAAAACTTTTTGTGTGCATGTGCACAATTTTTTATATCTGAGATCTTTTATTTTATTGCAGTTGCATTTTGTGAGCTGCTCGAAAGTTAACTCAAACAGGCATCTCATTCAATTTGCATGGCAATTAAATTTGAATTTTCTTCACTTTAAGTTCTTATTGTTAGTCTGGGCGAAATGGAATTTTAATTATTTTAACAAATTTGTTTGCCATGCATAAACAAATTAAGCTCTTTAGCAAATGTTTACAAGCTAAGTATCCAATGTAAAGCATACTTTTAGCCCACAAACACAATCAAACGCACTTAAGTATGCTACGGAAATTACAAAACAAATTTGCAACATTTCAGGTAAAACGAAACGCATTCCTCCGAATGCTGCATACACTCACGTTTGAGTGGATCCTAACAAAAGATTATTGTCAGATAATAATTAGAAAAATATTTAAAAAAAAAGTCTTAAGAGTCCCAAGCTTGTTTTTTTTTGTATTTTTGAGAGCCCAAAAACTTTAAAGACGATTATCTTAGGCAAAGTTTCCGAATTTGTGCTAACAAAAGAAGGATTCTACTTGGGTTAAGAAACAACAGTTCAATAATATGAATATTTTAATTTGTATTTATATAAATATACCATATTATACTTTTATGTGAATCTCTCAATATGTTTGCTTAAATGAAAATCTATGTAAGTTCCTTTGGGATCCTCACACATTTCATTAACTTTTACTTTTAGGTGAGTGTATAGGGATAACAAAAGTCAATGCATTAACCAGGACAATGGTTTTCATAGTCTCGAGCAAAATGTTGAGCAAGAAAATATGCCTGAAGTGTTTGGGATTTGCATAAATATATTTATGCACATACACGCGTGCAGACATGTGTAAGACACATATGCATATGCAGCTATATAATTTGCTGGGAAATTCGTTTCTAATGTGCGCTGCATTAGAATGCGTTGTTCTGGTGGAAAGAAGAGGAAGCAAAGAAATTGTGGGGTAGGTTTTGTTAACTTATGTGCGATTTACCAGCAAACCGAATTCAGATCGTAACTGGGGCCAATTGTGAGTGTGATTCGAAGGGGTCTCAGTTGTGTTGGTGAGGTGGGTGGGTTGCGTGGTTTGACAAGCGTGCAATATTCAAAGCATAGCCGCAGGCGTTACGGCAGAAGCTGTAAAGCAATACATGTGTAAAAACAGATGTGAACAAGCTTGGCTAATGGCTGTGATTCTGATTGTAATTGTAATTCTGCCCCAGCCTAATAAATGCCATATAAATGCGAACTTGAGCTCAGCAAAGTTTCATATTTTGGGCTTAAGGAAAGTAATTAACGGTCATCTGA